GACTCCTTGGTGAACCAGTTCAACTTTACATGTCCTTTTCTCTCAAATCCCTAGCCCCTTTATCATTTCACCAATTGTACCATGCCAAAACCTTGGCCTTGAATCATTCTCGCCATTCGCCTTCTTGACTCCTACACATGTGTAGCTTAATGGTGGGAAAAAAAAATCTCTGATTGGGCCCACTACAGATTTATGTTACACAACTTCAATTGGGTCCTCACTTCTGTTAGGCAATCATATTATATTTGCCTTATCAACTTACTATCCTATTTTCCATAGTATCTTCCAAACCTTTTCATCTCTCCATAAACCTCCCATGGCTTCCCCTACCTCTACTTTCTCAGCTAAGAATCTTGCCTTACATTTTACAGGAAGAAAAATGAGGTCCATCTGCCATGAGCTTCTTCTTCCTCATCTCATATCACTCATATGCCTTCTGCCACTATCTCCTCTTTCACCCCTGTCTCACGTGGTCTTATTCCTTACTAAGGCTAATCCCTCTACTTGCTCATTCCTTCCTGACTCTGCCCTCTCTGTTATATCCACTCTTTTATTTATTTTCAATCTCTCCCTGTCTACTGGCTTATTCCCTATTTCCTACAAATATGCACATTTCTCTCCCATGAATTAAAAAAATTCATCCTTGCATCCCCACTAAACTCTTCAAAAAATGCCACCTACAATAGGTTCCTCCACTTTTCTCATTTTCTTTTAACCTCTTCTGGTTTCTGACCTTATTTTTCCATCAAAACTACTCTCTCCAAAGTTGATCTTTTACTTACCAAATCCAATTGCCTTTTCTCAGTTCTCATTCTCCTTGACCTCTCTGCAGCCTTTACTACTGTTGATCGCTGTCTTCTTGATATTCTCTTCTTTGGTTTTTGGGACACCACTCTCTCCTGTTTCTCCTTCTTTCTGTCTGACTGCTCTTTCTCAGTCTCCTTTGCTGTATACTCATCCAGGTCATGTCTTCTCATTATAGATGTCCCACAGGATTCTGTCAAGGGCCCTCTTCTCTCTCTTCTATTTCACTTGGTGAGCTCATTAATTTCCATTAATTTAATTACTATCTCTATGCTTACTATTCTTAGAACTACCTATCCTACCCCAACTTCTCTGCTGACTTCCAGTCTTGTATCTCCATCTGCCTTTTAGACATCTAGGACTGGATGTCCACTTCTTGTTGTTGTTTAGTCATTTTTCAGCCATGTCTGACTCTCTCTGACCTTGTTTGGTTTTGGGTTTTATTTTGTTTGTTTTTGTTTTTGTTTTTGTCAAAGGTACTGGAATGGTTTGCCATTTCCATCTCCAGATCATTTTATAGATGGTGAAACTGAGACAAACAGGGTTTAGTGACTTGCTTAGGATCACCTAAGCAGTAAGTACCTGAGACCAGATATAAACTCAAGAAGATGAGTCTTCCTGACTCCAGGCCCAGCACTCTATCCACTGTGCCACCTGCATTTCCAGTAAAGATCTTAAATTCAGCATATTTAAAACTGAACTCATTATCTTCCCCCAAAACTTTCCCCATCTCCTATCTTCCCTATTATTGTAGAAGGCAACACCAATCTTCCAGACCCTCAGAGGGTTAGCAACCTAGGTATCATCCTTGACTCCTCACTATCTCTCACCTCCCATACCTAACATGTTGCCAGGCCCTGTTGATTTCTGCTTCACAACATCTCTCAAATATGGTCCCAACACCTCACGCTTAGACTAATGCAATAGCCTGCTGTTGGATCTGACTACCTCAAGTCTCTCCCTACTCCAAACCATTCACCATTCAGCCACCAAAGCGATTTTCATAAAGTGCAGGTCTAACCATGTCACACACACTGTGTGACAGTAAAATCCAATGGCTATCACTTTCAGGATCAAATACAAAATCCTCTATTTAGTGTTCAAAGCCCTTCATAACCAAATCCCCTCCTACCTTTACAATCTTCTAACACATTACTCTCCAACACAAACTTTTGAATCCAGTGACCCTGGCCTCCTTGTTCTATGAACAAGACACTCCATCTCTCTGCTCCTAGCACTTTCTCTGGTTACCCTCTATGCCTGTAACCTTCTCTCTCCTCATCTCCCCTTTTTGGCTTCCCTGACTTCCTTCAGATGCTAGCTAAAATCTCATCTTCTACAGGAAGCCTCTAGCAACCAGTCTTAATTCTAGCTGTTATTTCTGGTTTATTCTGTTCAGATCTTGTGTGTACATATGTATGTGCTTGTTTTCTCAGCCACCCCTTCTCCCTTTAGATTGTGAGCTCCCTGAGGGCAGGGATTGTCTTTTGCCTCTTTTTTGTATCCCCAGGTATAGTGCAATGCCTAGTCAGGGGTGGGGAACCTGTGGCCTTGAGGCCACTTGTGGCCCTCTAGGTCCTCAAGTGTAGGCCTTTGTCAAAGGCCACATGTGATTGAGAGGCTGAAGGATCCCCACCTCTGGCTAGAACATAGTTGGTGCTAAATAAATGTTTACTGAATGACTGACCATGCTTGTTAATCATATGATCTAGAATTTTGTCTGGAATAAAAGTTAATCTTACTTCCCTCTTTTGAAAACCAGGACATTTGCTCGTCTCCATTCTTCTAATACTCCTTGTATTCTCCAAAATCTTTCACAGACCATTGATAATGGCTTTGTAAAAACATCTGTCAGTTCTTTCAGCATTGTGGGATCTAGTTTATCTGGGACCTGATTTAAACTCATCAAGGGCACTTATGTGCTTACTTACCTGAGGTCTCACCTCCCTATTAGCCTTGTTTTTTGCTTTGTTTTGTATTTTCCAGTCTAAAGATCATTCTTCTTGGAAGAGAAAATAAAAACAAAAAATTCAGAACCCAGAAACTCTGGCTTCTCTCCATTGTCAGTTATAATTTTACCCTTTTCTCCCTTCTTTGATCTTTTTCTTTTCCCTAACATATTTAAACATACTCTTTGTTAGCCTTTGTTATCTTTTCTAATTTCAGCTCATTTTGCGGTATAGCTCTCCTAATATTTATTTATTAATACTTACAGGAGTAATACATTAGAAATGAGGACCCTCTGGTCCATAGATCTGAATTTAATTTCACCCCACAATGTCTATTTAGTGCTGTTTCTTAAACTGTTAAAATTCATTTTTGTCTATAATTTCAAAAACACAGTAATGGCCATTGAAGTAACAATGTTCTAAAAATCCATGAAAGGCTTCCTTTTATCCCATGGATTAACCACTAAGCAATAACAATCAAAACAAAAAGAAATTCAGCATCCTAGTGGTAGAAAAATAGTAAAATAAATTTATCTGGCACTTACTTTGTCCTAGAAGAGGAAACAGGTCAATATGGACACTTGTGGTGAGGGGGTGGTGGGAGGGAAGAAGGAAGGAAGGAAGGAATGAAAATTAAACTAAGTTAACAATCCACAGAAAGCCTGGAAGGCTATTTTAAAACACTTTATCCAAAACTTAGTATAAAGAATCTCAATACAGGGTGTCCCAAAGGTCTTAGTGAGGTTTTATGCTATTAAAGCTTAAACTTAAAGCTTAAAGCTGCACTAAGATTTTTGGGACATGCAGTGTAGCTAACTCAAAGAGAAAATAAGTCAGGGAAAAAAGTTATCTTCCCCAACCCAAACCCCTGCCTAAAAAAATGGGAAGATAGTTGACTCAAGGACCTCCAGGGTATTGGAGTATGGAAAAAGGTTTTGTAAACCATATTACTGGGTTGTAAGCATGAGGTTGCTTACCCTTGTACTGACCTTTCTATTTCCATAGAATGTGTACATACGTTTCCCAATTGCAGCTCAATTTTCTAGCTTGTCTTCTGAGAAGCTGAATGCAATAGATGATGTTTACCCCACTGAACAGAGGCTCAATGAAAGTGTCTTTGCTGGCTGGACTTCCCTTTCAGGAAGATCTCCTTCACTGTGTCTTTCTAGATTTGTGGATTTCTTTCATTTTCAGAGAAAGAATTTCAAATTTAGTAGATTCTTTTCATTTTCACTTTGCCAAATGGTTCTAATAAATCAGGACGTTTTCTTTTATGCTATCTTGAAATACGGTATCCAATTTTTTTGTTTGGTTGTAGTTTTCAGGTAACTTGATGATTTTAAAATTCTTTCTCTTTGACCTGTTTTCCACGTCAGTTGTTTTTGATAGTAGATACCTCAACATTATCTTCTATCTCTTTTTAATCTCTTGTTTTATTCTAACAGTTCCTATTGTGTCCAGGAGTCACTGAGCTCTGTTCCACTCTAATTTTCAGAGAGTCCACATTGATTTATAATATTTTTAAATTTTGTTTGGTGTCTTTTGTCTACTTCAATCATCAGCTTCAATTCCTGGTTTGGAACTTTGTCCCAAGGACAGACTCTGACCCCTCTCTCACTGTTGGATGGGGTTTTCAGGTGCTATTTGGTCCTGATCTTAATTTCCTGGGTTCTTTCCACTGGTTTTCACTTCCCCTGGTGTGTCTGTGCTCACGGCCTTGGCAGGTTTCAGGTCCTCCAGATTAGCCCAGATCAGAGAATTCAAGTGTTCAGGCTCCAAGTATCTTCTCCAGAGTGCTTCCAGGTTTCACAGGTATCATTGTTCTTCCCTTGATCTTCTTGCCTTTTACAAAGCTAAAAACATGCCCAGTATGGACCTTAATATTTATTGTGGGCCTTAAATCCTTCCAGGATTTAGTCTTTGCTTTCCTAGGACATAAGCCAATCTAGTTGGTATTCACCTCCTTATTTATCAGAAGTCTGAGATTTCATATCTTGTCAGTATTTCTGCTTTGATGATCAACTGCTCCTCATTGGTCAGTCTTTTTTTAAAAAAATATTTCCTCATTCATAGAAATATAGAGCTAGAGTGGGAACGGACCTCTGTGACCATCTAGGGTCCAACCCCCTTATTTTACAAATGAGGAAAATGAGGTCAGGGGAGGTTAGGTGACTCTCCCAAGGTCGCAGAGATAGGATCCTGTCAGTTCTGTCCAGATCATTGAAGTAACATATCACTAACTAGAGGATGGTGTCAGTGAGGGTAGAAAAGGGTAAAGATGCTAGAGCTTGAAAAAATAGAATAGCTAAAACTTAGTGACTAATTAGATGTATGTTATTACTCTAGGAATTTTAATGACTTAAGTGACTCTACCTCCTTCACTCTTTGTTCTAAATCACCCTCTTTGGCTTTCTTTTGGATTTCCCCATGTATCTTTTGGTCTATCTTTTCTTCCTTATACGTATCTCTTTCCTTACATGCATAACATGGTGTTAACATTTTTTTTATTTGTTGCATTTACTTAATGATATCTTATATTTTCTTTTCCTATTCACATTTTGCCCGTTAAATGAAACTTTTATAAATGTATGGAGGGAAAAGTGTCAAACTAAGATGTTTTCTACTTGAGATTGGACTTTCACTTTTAAATGTAGCTATATGACAAAAACAGGAGGGAAAAAAAGATCCTCCATTCCTGATTTAAGAATATAATTACGATTTAACTGCATTAGCCATCAAAAACAGCCTAGGTAGGCTACAAAAAGAAATGGGACAGTCTTGTCTTGTGGCTTCCCAATTTAGGTAGGACCAGACGCTAGATTCTGAGTCCCTGAAAGAATTATTGCAACAAGTTGCAAGTGTTTCAAAAGTCAAGTTTTTATTGGGTTTGCTTGTGCTGTTTTTTTTTTTAAAGTTCTAAATAGCCATCCAAACAGGCCTGCTGTTCTTCTCTGGGTTATAAATTTAACTGGATGCACTGACATTATTTTTTCCTCCTGTTATTCTTCTTCCTGCGGTTCCCAATCCCTACCTAACTTTTACACCTCCCTTTCCCAATTCCCATCCATAAAGATTATCTTTCTTTGACTTTACGTTCGCCTTTGCTCGCGAACGGAGGAAGTCGGTCCCTCGCGGCGAGCCGTCCGAGCCGGCCGGCTGTGGGCTTGCGGCAATATGGCGGCGGTTTCAATGTCAGCGGCTCTGAGGCAGGCTATGGGGGCGCGAAGGGCAGCGGCCGCGGTCCCCCAGCTTCCCACCAGGTAAACCGCGTCTCCTTGCTGGCTCGCCCCCTCCCGTGGGGCCGACGCCCTCCCCTGGCCTTCCCTTGACGCTTGGGTCCCGCGGTCCGCCGAGGTCAGAGGGAGGCCGGGCCTTTGCCTCGGAGCTCTCCCCGCCCGCTGACCCTGCGCCCCCCCGCGGGTGGCCCGGCCATAGTTTCCCCCCGGGAAGGCCTCGGGCTGCCCCGGGCGTCCTCTGCCCGCGAGGCGGACAGAGAGTGAGAGGAAGCGCGGCCCGAGCAGCCTCCCCCGGGACCCGGCGACCAGAGCCAGGCGCCGAGGAGCGCGGTGGGCGGCCCTGGAGAAGCGGCTGCGCCCGCCCCCGACCCCCCCCTTTCCGCAGGTAGGAGGGGGCCTTTGCACCCCGGGGTCTCGCTCCCGGGTCCCCGGCTGTGAACGGACGCTGGCAGCTCTTGCCGGGGATGTTGGACGTGAAGGCCCGGAGCCCCCGGGGGAAGCACGGGCGGGTCAGGGGCGTCCTACGCCAACCGCAGTCCGTCGCGGGGCTTGCTCCTCTGCCCCCACCCTAACTCCGATGTGGGGTTTGCCATTTCCTTCACCATTTACTCTGGAGGAAGGTGAAATACAGGGAACCCTGGGGACGTTTCCAGTGTGAGTCTTCCGACCTTGTACGGGGCGTCCCAAAGATTTTGGTGCATGTTGAAGCGCTAACGTTTGCGTAGCGCCGGGTACTAAAGCTGAGCGCGTTACGCACATTGTCTCTTTGGAGATTCACAGCAACCCTGGGAGTAGGGTGCTGTTGTTACCATCTTACAGATGAGGAAATTGAGGCAAGCAGGGGTTGTTACTTAAGTCACTTGGCTCAGGGTCACACCAAAGTTGTGTGAGTGCTTGAGATGGGATTTGAACTGAGATCTTCGTGACTCCTGGTTCAGTACTGTACATCACCACCTAGTTACCTCAATGCAAAATGAGGAGTGCTTAACCCTTTTGTGTGTCGTGGCCCCCTTTGGCAGTCTTGTGAACAAGCCTGTGGACTCTTCAGAATGTTTTTAAATGTGTAAAATAAAGTGTGTAGAATGAGAAAAAAATATGTGGAAATAGCTATCAAATTATCAATTATATTAAAATACAGTTCATATATACACATAGATACACATATACATGTGCACATACACATATACACACAAATATACAATGGGGGAAATGATACACATGCATATACACACATACCCACAAAACATGGGTTACTAATCTGGGGTCCATGCAACTGTTTAAAAATTAAATCATGCATATACTCAATAAGTAGTAGGATGGCCCTTGTTTCAAACTGTCTTAAAATTCAGTAGGTAAAAATAATGAAATTTAATATAATTCACACATTTTAACTGGCTCATTTAAATTATATAACAACTCTGTTAAAAAGCTTAAAATCTACAAATATTTAAATAATTTAAAAATGATAAAAGAGTAAAACAGATATAAGAAGAATGAAGACAATAGGGAAGATAATGGGGATATAGAAAGGGTGATCCTACATTTTCCAACCAATTAAGGGTGTACATTCCAGGGGAGTAACTGAATGGGTCTAGAGGAAAAGAAATAACCATTACTCATGCTCATGTACTCATACTGTCATGGAGTTTGAATACTATATTTATATATGCACATATTTTTTTTTATAAATGCACATTTATATTTTTACTTGGTAGTTCATGCTGGTCTTATTTACCTTTAATCACTAAATGTCCTCAAATTCAACATTTGCTCTTCTCTTGGATCGAGTGTTCAATTATGTGCTTACTGACCAAATTGTAGAGGGTTAGGTTACCGGGATCTACTCTCTCTGCTTGTCCTATAGCCACTTGGCCCCTTTCAACATCTAGTCAGTTAAAGGTGGGAATGGGAGAATATTCAGGAACCCCTAGTCAATGGGAATTCCAGGGACTGGTAGAGTCTTATTTTATATTGTGGGAAACTAGGCTAGCCTAAATTTGAGAAATATTTAGGACTGTTCAAAACTGTCTTGGCTGCTGCCTCAGACTTTGCATAGGCAGTATTAACAGGTACCTGTGCACACCACCGTTTTTTATTTTGTTGTCTAACTCATCCAAAGCTGAGTTCTTAAAGCTTATAAGGTATTAAAAGTAACTTCTAATAATAGCACCTTTAAAAATTGTTGTGCGTGTTAGAGGAAGGGTAAGGTAAGACCTGCACCAAAAGGCAGGTCTTTATCAAAGTGGGTTGGAATTTTAGTGGGTTTTGAATAGCCTTTAGTTCCCTCCCCTCCTTATAACCAATTAGAGAGGGCTTTGTTCCTCTCTAAATGGAAAGTATTAAATATAATAACCAGTGTATACATATGTGAAATGCTTGTTTAAAAAAAAAAGTCTACAATTACTATGATTTGTGAGGAAACTAAGGGAGTAGTTTCCTTTGTTACTTAGTAGCCTTCTCTGTGAAAGACAATGATGGAAAAATAGGATAGTGACAAATATAAATGTTTGGGTCTGAATATAGGCCGCCCTTTTCCTCAAAGGCCAATAATTCTGTGATAAAATGTTTTTTATTTGAATTAAAAGCAAATATACTTTTATGTAGTAATTCTGTGCAGATATTTTTAGTATGTACTTGGATTTTATTTTTCTCCTTTTAAATACATCTCATTTAATTGTATATTCATACTTAGGCATTGAATACTTTTTCTAGTAATTTGTAACAGTATCAAGAGTTTAAGCTGTTATATTCAGTTACTTAATTGCCAAAACATATCAATTTCTAGTCGATCCATCAATCAATTAACATTTATTAAGTGCCTACTTTGTGTTAGGCACTGTGCTAAGTAAGCAGGGGGTGGAGGGATGGGGGGGGAATGGGGGTGATACAAAAAGAGACAAAAGACTGTCCTTGCCTTCAAGGAGCTCATAATCTAATGTCCTAAAAATAATGTCCTTATACTTATTCAGCCTGTGCTCCCAACAAATTGTCCTATTATACCTTCTGTACTCACATACTTTATTATCTAAAGTTACATGATTTCATCATTGTGAGTATTTTCTCAGTTGTTGGAGGTGGTAGCCTCTCCATACTGAAGTGTACAGTTTCATGAGTTACTGTGGCCAAAAACTTGAATCACCTAGGGGCCAGTCTTGTGATGATAAGGCCTTTGAATTGTAGGAGGTTAGTCTTTGAATGGTAGATACAAGGTTCTTTGGGGGCTTATACTGAGCCTTCAAAAACTTGAAGTTAATATCATTTCAAGATGGAGTATCAGAGTAGGACTATAGGGAAGATCCATCTAAAATGGTTTTGTTAGAAGAGGGAAACTCGGAGTGTCTTCAGTTAGCTTACTGAGATTAAGTCTTTTCCCAACAAAGGACTTTAGGTGAGGTCAACAAGTGGAAAATGAAACACAGGAGGAAATTGCTTCTTTGTAATAATTTTTCAGAGAGATGTGTTTATCGAAACAGGAATACTTTAAACAGCTGTGCTTTTAGAATCTAATTTCTGTTCTTGGAAAGCTTATTGGTAAAAGCTAAGATTGTGGTTTAGTTTTCTGAGGGTGGGTCAGGTAGGGCTTGATGTAATAAATTGCTTGAAGAAAAATGTTGTGATCTTTAGTTTTATGGTGAGCTTTATCATTTGTGAAAAGGGGCTTAAGTCAGGAAGACTGACTGATCTTCCTGAGTTACTTACTCAGCCTCATATTTACTAGCTGTGTGACCTTAGGCAATTCACTTAACCCTGTTTGCCTCAGTTTCCTCATCTGTAAAATGACTTGGAGAAGGAAATGGCAAATTGTTCCAGTATCTTTGCGAAGAAAACACAAAATGGAGTCATAAAGAGTTAGAAATGAAAAACTGAATAACAACATGTGCCAGGCACTATGCTAAGCACTAGGAATACAAAGAGAGGCAAAAGACATGTTAAAAGGTATCCTCTTACCTGAAGAGGTTGGGAACCATTGGCCTAGTTTACCTCTTTGAGCACAAAACCTTTTTTTTTTTTAAATTTTAGTCATTTTGTGGGAATCTTTCTAAGTTGAATTATATACTTTCCTGACTTCTTAAGGAGTATTCCAGATATAACATTTTTGATGATTCCAGGTAATCACTGTGGACATTAATTATTGTTCTATAGTATAAGAAACAATGGGGCATTTGGGTGGTTAGGTGGATAGAGCACCTTGCCTGGGCTTAGAAGGAATTTGAATTCAGATTTGGCCTCAGGCACTTAGCTATGTGACCCTGGACAAGTCATTTAACTCCTACTTGTCTCAGTTCTTCATCTGTAACATGGAGACCCACTGGGGAAGGACTGGAAAACTACTCCAATATCTTTACCAAGAAAACCCCATGGACAGTGTCCATGGGGTCATGTAGAGTCAGACACAATTGAACAACAACATAAGAAACAACAAATAATGAGGACTTCCAAATACCCTGAGACCATAGATTTAGAGCTGAAGGGCTCTTGAAGGTTATCTGCTCCAGCCCTTTTATTTTACAGATGAGGAAACTAAGGCTCACAAAGGTTAAGTGAATGACCTGAGGTCACACTGTTAGTGAGTGACAGCCCTGGAATTTCATTCCTTGGATTGTGACTCCAAAGGCCATGTTTTCCCCATTACACCACAAAAGATGATTTGTATGAAATAATGCAAAATGAAGTAAGGAGAACTATCCAGAAGACTAAATTTGTATGACATTAGCAGTGTAAACAAAAGTAACACCAAATTCAGCTAGATTCAAAGGAACCAGCAGCCAGCCTTGGTACAAGAGAACAGATGATGCAACATACTTCCCTATTTTCAGTAAAGAGGTTGGAAATTAATGACTGTGAAATGTTATATACACTGTCAGCTGCTGTCTTTTTGTCAGGTTTTGCTTCATTTTTACTTTCATTAAAATGGGGGATCCAGTAGGGGAGCAAGTCAGGAAATCACTGTAGCGTAAACACAAAATACATCAATACTCAAATGGATCTATGATTTCATATATTTGGATTTTCCTCCAATGGTGTAGATTGTAGCCCAAACATGCCTAACCATAAGTTTGCCACAGAGGGTCCACCCAATATACTAGAGACTTTCCTCATTTTTTGTTGCTATTACAAGGATACCCATGGAGCACTTGGTCTGTTCAACCTCTTTCTTCCTAGCATACATTTCTCTGATATTCTTCTTACTTCTGTTCTTTTGAAGTTACTCATTCATTTTATGTTGAAGTCTGATCCACCCTTATCATGTGCCTCTCCACTGCTCTCCATGTGATATTCATTTTCAATTCTTCAGTTGTATTCTTCATCCACTTGTTCTTTTATTGTGTCTGGCCAGGCCAAACTCTTGTGAGTGACTACAGATCTCTTCCAGGAGCTTTGCAA